GGTGCTTTTGCCGCTGAGCTAAATCCCCAGCCCCTACATAAAAAATCTTCAACGTGAATGGATTAAGCAATTCAATGAAAAGTCAGAGAACCTCCGACTGGATTTTTGTTTAAAGATCCAACTGTATACTGACTACAGAAGGTACATTTTAGATTGAAACGTACAAACAAATTGAAGGAAAAGGTATGGAGACTCATATCCTATAAATAACACCTATAAAATAGCTAGACAACATAGATATTAAAACTAGAAAAGGCCAGGTACAGTAGCACATGCCTGTAATCTCAGCATTCTGGAAGACTAAGGCAGGACTATCACAAGTTAAAGCAGAGCCTTGGCAACTCAGCAACCCAGCAAGACCCTGTCTCAAAATATAAAAGGACTGGGGATGGAGCTCAGTGCAAGGGCTCTGAGTTCAATCCCAGTATCGGCAAAAAAAGGAAGGAAGGAAGGGGGGAGGGAGGAAGAAAGGAAACAAAGAAAATAGAAGAGTAACAGCAATTAATCTTTCTGAACTTCAGTTTCTTTGTCTGAAAATGGGGGTAATCAAGCCAAGCATGGTGGCACATGCCTATACATACCTATATCCCCAGCACTCTGGTAGGCGAAAACAGGAAGATCACAAATTCAAGCCCAGTCTGAGCAACTTAGCAACTTAGTGAGACCCTTTGTGTAAATAAAAATTTTAAAAGGGCTAGGGATATAGTTCGGTGTGAAGGCCCTGGGTTCAACTTCCAGCATATATGTCTCTGTCCGAGTCTGTCTCTCTATCTGCCTCTGTCTCTGTCTCTGTCTCTCTCTCACATACACAGTTACTACAGATAAAGACAATGATTTTATGATGATAAAAAAAAATAAATCTATCAGGAAACTATAACAACTAAGAGCATACATGCAGTCATAATACATGAAACAAAAACTGAGAGAAATAGCAGAGCTAGACCATTCTACAGTAGTCTACAGTAGTACACTTTATTAAATCCTGCAAAAGTAGATAGAAAATCTGGGTAAAAGTTCAAGAACAGAAGATACAGAAAATACTATAAACAAACTAAACAGAAGCCATTCATAGAACACTCCAGCCAACAACAAGAGAACACACATTCTTCATAAGTACACACAGAAAAATTTCCAGAGCAGATAAGATGCTGCACCATCAAACAAACATTCCAAAATATAAAAATATCAAAATTACAAAGCATATTCTCCCATCAAAATTAAATAAAAAACTGAAATTTTTACAAATAAGTAGACATTAAACAATATGCTCCTTTATAACTAATCAGTCAAAATAATCAAAAAAGAAATCAGAAATATTTTGAGATAAACAAAAATGAACATACTGCATATCAAAATGTAAGTGATATACATAAAGCTTTGCTTATAAGGAAATTTATTCCTGTGAATGCCTATATCAAACAGGAAGAAAAACTGAAATAATAACCTAGTTTTCCACCTTAAAATACTAGAAAAAGAAGAGCAAATTAAGGTGGAAAAGGGGCTGGGGATTTAGCTCAGCGGCAAAAGCGCCTGCCTGGCAAGTGCAAGGTCGTGAGTTCGGTTCCCAGTACCGGAGAAAAACGAAAAAAAAAAAAAAAA